CTAGGCAAATCCCTGCCTTATCTTAGCTCATTGGTCACCAAAGCAACACCCACCCGTAGTATGCGTTCCAGCAGGTATATCTCACTGGTCATCCCTAAAGCCAACACCTCCTTTGGTCGCCATTCCTTCCAGTTCTCTGCTGCAAATGACTGGAACGAACTGCAAAAATCTCTGAAGCTGGAGACACTTATCTCCCTCACTATCTTTAAGCTTACCGATCACTGCACCTGTACACAGCCCATCTGTAATTAGCCCACCCAACTACCTCATCCTCATATTGTTATTTACATTGTTATTTATTTTCCTCATTTGCACCCCAGTATCTCTATTTGCACATCATCTTCTGCTCATCTATCACTCCAGTGTTAATACTAAATTATAATTGTAATTATTTTGAACTATGGCCTATTTATTGCCTTACCTCCATAACTTACTACATTTGCACACACTGTATATAGATTTTCTATTGTGTTATTGACTGTACGTTTTGTTTATTCGATATGTAACTCTGTGTTGTTGTTGTTTTTATCGCACTGCTTTGCTTTATCTTGGCCAGGTCGCAGTTGTAAATGAGAACTCGTTCTCAACTGGCTTACCTGGTTAAATAAAGGTGAAATAAAAAATACATAAAAACTGTGGGACCTTATATAGACAGGTGTGTGCCTTTCCAAATCATGTCGAATCAATTGAATTTCCCACAGGTGGACTCCAATCAAGTTGGATGATCAATGGAAACAGGATGCAATTTCGAGTCTCACTGCAAAGGCTCTGAATTCATGTAGTCCCCTGTAGCTCAGTTGGTAGAGCATGGCGCTTGCAACGCCAGGGTTGTGGGTTTGTTTCCCAAGGGAGGCCAGCACTCACTAACTGTAAGTCGCTCTGGATAAGAGCGTCTGCTAAAATCACTAAAATTTAATTAGGTATTTCTGTTTTTTATTTTTAATAAATTTGCAAACATTTCTAAAAACTGTTTTCACTTTGTCATTATGTGGTACTGAGTGAAGATTGATGAGGAAAAAATGAATTTATCCATTTTAGAATAAGGCTGTCACTTAACAAAATGTGGAAAAGGTAAAGGGGTCTGAATACTTTCCGAATGCACGGTAAGTCTTGAGGTAGTCTGACCCACTGGGCTCAAGGAAAATAGCACCAAACAATATTTCAACAACTTTTGTATAATTTAAAACCTTTGAATATGGTAACTGCAGTGTTTCCCCTATATTCATGCCACCGCTGCAAAAAATATGATGTAATTAAAAAATATATATATGGATAGTCGTTAGCTCAATGAATGGAATGCAATGGGAACAGCTAGCATTTCATTGTGCTAACGCTAGTAGCAATGCACCCCCCACCCCCTGCTACCCTTGCCACCGCTGCTCAAAATAATCCTAGGGGAAACACTTAACTGTATATTTTTTCATGACAGGATTAGGCTATTGTGCAACTGATCAAATAGTCACAAAATACAGCTTTAAACACAGGAACAATGTTGCCTCTATTTGAAGAAGTTCATTTCCACTCATGCAGTCCTTTATCAAAAACATTCATTTTCCATTTTCTATAGATAAAAAATATATAATAAAAGCATAAATATCAGGACACACAGGTCACTTAAGATACATTTTGAAATTAGTTCAAGTTTAAAAAAATCTAAATGTCTCTAATAATCAGGGATAATTTTGACAGGAATGGTCAGCCTTCCTAGAACAATGTGAAAAGAACCATCGGAACCATCTTGCTTCTGTTTCTTGTTCTTTTGGGAAGACTTTTCATCATTGCCTTGGAGTAGTTTGAGCAGGTCCAGAACATTAGACTGGTGCTGGGATTTCTTCCTCTGTGGGGATCTCTTGGAACTAGTAGTTTTTACTTTACTCTTCGTGGTTGACTTAGAACGCTTCAAAGAAGAGGTGGTTTTGGTTGGTGCCAACGTGGTGGTGAGAACTTTTTTAGAGTAACTTGTTTTGGCTTTTGACACTTCCTGGACTTTGTGAGACGGTGGGGCCAGCTGGTATGAGTCTGGAGCAGTGGTTTTCCCATAACCTTTGTTTGAGTGGGATGTTTCTCTTACAACTGTTTCTGTGATTTTAACATTGGGTTGAATCTTTGAATCAGGTGCAACTAATCTTGCTCCTTGCACGAGAAGCATCCTCTTCCTTTTTAGCAGCTTGATTATGTGACTTGGATGATGTAGGATTTTTTGACACCTGTGTTGGAGGCTTAAGTTTATGGGATGGTGGTGCCAGCTGATATTTAGTTTAGATATTTAGATATTTACTTCTTTAGCTTGCCCTGGTTTTGATTGACTTGTCTGTGTTGAGCGCTTATTAGCTGTCACAGGAATCTTCTTGGCCATCGTAGTCTCTGTTTCAGGCTTTGTTGCAGTACTTGGCCTAGTGCTAGGCTTTGTTGTACTATGTGGTCTAGTGCTAGTCCTGGGTTTACTTACGGTAGTATTTTGTCTTGTGATGGACTGTGAAATAACATGACTTTTTGTGGTTCTAGTTAATAATGGTTTAGGTTTAGGTTTTGTAGTTTGTCTGTCTTTGAATGTTTGGGAAGTGGACTTTGTGTTGACAGTTGGTTTGTGCTTTTTATTCCTCTGAGGGGTTGTTGGGGCTTTCTTAGCAGGGAGATGGGACATTGGTAAACTTTTGGGGACTGTGGCTCTAGTTTGTGACCTGGTGATTGTTGATTGAATCCTGACAGTGGGTCGCAGTGTTGTCGTGGTTGTTCATTGAGAAGTCCTGACGATGGGTCGAGTTGTAGTAACCCCTGGCACTAAGACTGTAGAGATTGGTGGCAGTGCCTTTGCCTCTTTAGCAGACTGTGAGGTGTGTCTGACGCGTTTCACCTTGTTCATCTCCTGAGCTAGGGCAGTAAACCCATCTATCACGATCTCCAGACGACCCTCCAGCCTTCTCAGCCGAGTTTCCATGTCTGTGTAGCTACTTTCCAGCTCTTTCTTCTCCAGGGCAGACTGTGACTGCAGGGCCAGGAGTGTCTCCAGCTGGGTGCTGAGCTTGCTCTGCTGGCCCCTCATGGCCTGGATGCCCTCCTTGATGTCCAGGATTTTGCTCTCCAGCATGCTGAGGTGCTGGTTGAAGCGGTTCATGTGGAGCCTCATTAGGAACTGGAAGCTGTGCTCTCTAACCTCAGGGCTGGGTGTGTTCAGTGATGGGACCCTGGGTGCAGTCCTATTCAGGTGGACTCAAACCATGTCGGCTACGGGGGTAGTTGTGGTTGGACGAGTAGTGGTGGTAGGGCGAGTGGTTGAGCGAGTCGTAGCAGGTGGGCGAGTAGGGATGGTAGGGTGAGTAGGGATGGTAGGGCGAGTGGGGATGGTAGGGCGAGTGGGGATGGTAGGGCGAGTGGGGATGGTAGGGCGAGTGGGGATGGTAGGGCGAGTGGGGATGGTAGGGTGGCTGGTAGTGGACAGTAGGCTCTGTGTGGGAATGTATGGCCTTGGGCTATAATCTGTGTCTTCTTCTTCTTCTTCCTCCTCTGGCTGTGTGATGCCACTATAGTCTGTGTCTTCCTCCTCCTCCTTGGCTGGCTCTGGGTTGTAGTCTGTGTCCTCCTCCTCCTCCTCCTCCTTGGCTGGCTCTGGGTTGTAGTCTGTGTCCTCCAACTCCTCCTCCTCCTTGGCTGGCTCTGGGCTGTAGTCTGTGTCTTCCTCCTCCTCCTCCTCCTCCTCCTTGGCTGGCTCTGGGCTGTAGTCTGTGTCCTCCTCTTCCTCCTCTTCCTTGGCTGGCTCTGGGCTGTAGTCTGTGTCTTCCTCCTCCTCCTCCTCCTCCTCCTCCTTGGCTGGCTCTGGGCTGTAGTCTGTGTCCTCCTCCTCCTCCTCCTCCTTGGCTGGCTCTGGGCTGTAGTCTGTGTCTTCCTCCTCCTCCTCCTCCTCCTCCTCCTTGGCTGGCTCTGGGCTGTAGTCTGTGTCCTCCTCCTCCTCCTCCTCCTTGGCTGGCTCTGGGCTGTAGTCTGTGTCTTCCTCCTCCTCCTCCTCCTTGGCTGGCTCTGGGCTGTAGTCTGTGTCCTCCTCCTCCTCCTTGGCTGGCTCTGGGCTGTAGTCTGTGTCCTCCTCCTCCTCCTCCTCCTTGGCTGGCTCTGGGCTGTAGTCTGTGTCTTCCTCCTCCTCCTCCTCCTCCTCATCATCATAATCCTCCTCCCCCTCATCCTCTTCTCCACTGCCCTCTGGCACCACATGTTTCTCCAGGCTAAAGTTGAACACTGCCTCATCACACCCCGGCGGGAGGAAGCCCTCATTGTCCTCTTGCAGGTACGGGTCCACACAACTTTCTTGTTTTCTTAATGATCAAAACATTCAAATCAGACATAGGGCAGGCATGGAGGCTCAACTTATCAAAACATACCGATGTTTATTTACCCAGTCACCGCATCATCATCTTTGCACCTCGAGTAGCAAAGATTCGTCAAACAGATGTGACATTCGAAATGCCACCTCTAGATTTATGCCTCAGAGAGAGAATATGTTTACATAGCCCGGGCATAAACACGGACAGCATTAGCCCACAGCTTCTAAACCTTTCAGAAAGCAGTAAAGCACAGCTGGAGCAGAAAACGGTACACTGAAAAGGTTCTGGCAAAGCTGAATCAAAGGAGAGAACTGAAGCTGAAGCAAAGGAGATCACTAAAGCTGAAGCAAAGGAGAGAACTGAAGCTGAAGCAGAGGAGAGAAAGCAAAAACCATGTGACATGAGGTTTCCTCAGGATACAACTACAAGTCCAAACACTCCTAACGAAAAACTTGGTTTCACCACTTATTGGCTTTTACGACTTTTACGACAACAAATGTACAATCACACCTTAGCATATCACGTATAATCCCATGGTAAACATTTTTTAACAAAAATGCCCATTGATAAATACAATGTTCGTTAGCCAAGCTCAATAATCCACTACACATATTGACCTGTCAAATAGCATAAAAAGCACTGCTACTGCAGAGACCAAACCCTACACACAAAAACCTTTACTAACTAACTGGAATGGGTGGCATTGATTTGAGCTTTGCTTCCACCATACCACTCCACTAACACATACCAATCAATCATGACTGGTTGGAAAGACTGGTTGAAAGAGGGATGCAATGGACAGACATGCTACTATACCCCTTTTGTAAATGAAATAAGTGGGTGCCAGTGCCAGACCTGTCACCTCTGCTTTGCTGCGCTCCGGCCAGCCCAGCACCCCCCAAACCACTGACCACTTAACAGCTTGACTGTAAGGATGGAGGGGATAGAGAGAGAAAGAGCTGAATATGAAGAGAATCGTACCTTTCGCAGCGCCGGCCAGTGAAGCCTGGGGGACAGTTATCACAAGTGGGCTGACCATCCGCGTCCTTGTAGCAAGACTGAGAATACCTGCATGAAGACAGAGTCTTCTATCAGAGACAGTGTAGCCTACAGCCCGTATAATATTAATGGGGTTACCTTTGAGAAAATAGCGTAACTGTATGACCAGTCACTGACAGATCGGCTATCTTTACAAAGAGCAGGTTGACCCCACATAATTAAATAGTATCTCTATGAGGTTGACCAGCAGGTGAATGGATACGTTTATCAGTAGAATAAAGATCTTCATAAGAGGATAAGTCTGGAGCTAGAGTTCCAGAGCCATTGATCCATGTAAAGGTGTAGTTCTGTGCAGCTGTAGAGTCCATGAGGAGTGAACTCACTGGTTGCTGGTGGAAGTGCCAGGGCAGGGGCAGGGCTGACAGGCCTGGGGGCCGTCCGTCACAGGGTTGCCGTAGAAACCTGGCAAACAGCGCTCGCACCTTGGGCCGGCCGTGTTGTGAAGGCATTGCTAGAAAAAGGAGACACACGAGAAGGGAGAGAGTGGTGGATCCATCCATGGAACAGTGAAATCCTATTATGAGCTAATGTGTGTTCTGAATCTGTTTCCACATGTTGCGATTTGCCAAGAAACCATTAGCGGATTCCATAGCAGACTTGAAAGCCAGATGCAGCTGTAGTACTGTACTACTGGCATACAGTACAGTAGTAGGGTGGAGTGACTTACCAAGCACGCGCCTGTCTCCTGGTCACAGCCGCTGGCGTGGCCGTTACAGTCGCACCTCTCACAGGTACCCAGGTAGAGCCCAGAGCCTGTACGGGTGTAGCCCACGTCACACTCCTGTATAGAAACAGACATGGAAGGAAAGACATGGAAAAACCCCTCAGGCCATGTAGTGATAGAAATGTATACAGTACAGTAGATTGTCTTGTTGCTCCATTACAACATGCTCTAAGAATTCAACTCTGTGTTTCTTTCCAAGATGTCTACTGTGCCATGAAACAAAGTGATGGAGCTTTACGACTAGGAGAGGTAACAGAGGAACAGCTATTGTATTGGTTGTTCTTGTGTCATCAGGATAACGTTTATGTGGTGTGTGTGTGTGTGTGTGTGTGTGTGTGTGTGTGTGTGTGTGTGTGTGTGTGTGTAAAGTACCTGGCATGATGGTCCTTTGTAGCCTTGGGGACAAGCACACTCCTCCACTTCAAGGGCACGTTCATTGCCTGTGGAGCGTGGCACTGCAATGTCCATTCGGATGTCTGAAAGACTGGACAACAGACAACAACACAGGTGAGATAACAACAACAACAACAACAACAACAACATCAGCCACATGGTCTTTCCAGTAAGTGTCCTAAATGATTCTTTAGAATCATCATTATGTGGTAAACTACAGCTGATTTGAGATACTACTCAATATGTCTTCCTTCTCCTACCGACACTAGAGTTGACTAGAGGTAGATCTCAATAGTACACGTAGTCTGGCCCTCTCTTACCTGGTCTCAGCCATGTTGTCAGCGTAGGTGGCTCTGATCATGAAGACAGTAGTATCAGCCAAGGCCATGAGGAGGTGCTCACGAGTACAGGGCTGTCCATCGGCACGCCTCCATGCAGACTGGTAGGAGAAAACACAGGGAGAGACAGAGAAATGAAGCTCAGTGTAAAGTTCTGCCTAGGCAAAGTCAGGATTAGAGCTGGCCTCCTGTAGCTCAGTTGGTAGAGCATGGTGCTTGCAACGCCAGGGTTGTGGGTTCGTTTCCCACGGGGGGCCAGTATGAAAAAAAGTATGAAAAATGTATGCACTCACGTCGCTCTGGATAAGAACGTCTGCTAAATGACTAAAATGTAAAAAAAATGGATTATATCCAAGAATAGGATTGGGATTAGCAATGGAGTTAATGGTCATCTAATTACGTAATCTAAACAAAATCATCCACAAAGACAACATTGTATTACATCTTAATGTTAAGATAACAAACTGTTTATTATCAGTTTTTCTTTTAAATACGCACACACACACACACACACACACACACACACACACACACACACACACACACACACACACACACACACAGTGACACACACCTCTCTGAAGGTGACAGTGACGGTGGCGGGTACGCGGGGGAGGGGCTTTGTCTGGGAGAAGTGTTCCAGGAAGATGCCGTTGCCTTGGAGAACCACATCCGGCTGTCCGTCAATCACCAGGGAGCGTTGCCGGGGCTCATAGCGCACAGTGTAGCGCAGCTCTCCGCCATAGGCTGTCACCTGGCAACAACATGTCAGATGTCAGAGAGAAACGTTCTCCACTCGATGGTGGAAAGGTATTTCACCCCATAAGGCTAGCTGGGTCATGGATCATCATGATGACATGTGCATGACCATGAACCAGAAGTAGAGAGCTTCTCTTTGTTTATGTTAAGCCTTTATGTTGAGAGAGCATGTGGACGGTGAAATCTAGCCTGACCACATTTATTTCACACCTTGCTTCCAGAGGGAAGACTACTAAGTCAAAATACGGTGGATGACAGTTTCTCCTGTCCCCATGATCTAGTGGAGAAATAAAGTGTCATAAAGACGCCACTCATCTCCCCCACCCCCCACCCTCTACCCTTGTCTCCCCCCTCTCATCTAGTCTCCTCCATATCACCTTGTCCCTCCGCTCTCTACTTGTCTCCCCCATCTCCCCCGTCATCCCCCTCTCTTCCCCCTGTAAAACCCGTGTCTCCTCCGCTCTCCCCAGTCCCCTCCTTCCCCCTCTACCTGTCTCCCTCTCTCCCCTAGTTCCCCCTCTCTCCTCCTGCTCCCTCTTCTCCCCCTCTCTGGTCCCTAGTCCCTCTCTCCTTCCTCCCCCTTCCCTGTCTCCCTCCTCTCCCCTAGTCCCCTCTCTCCTTCCTCTCCCTCTGTCTCCCCCCTCTCCCCTAGTCCCCCGCTCTCCTTCCTCTCCTCTGTCTCCCTCCTCTCCCCCTGTCCCTATCCCCTATCTACCTTGTCTCCCCCCTCTCTCATAGTCCCCTCTCTCCTTCCTCTCCCTATGTCTCCCCCCTCTCTCTAGTCCTCTCTCCTCTATCCTCCGTCTCCCCCCTCTCTCCTAGTCCCCTCTCTCCTTCCTCTCCCTCTGTCTCCCCCCTCTCTCCTAGTCCCCTCTCTCCTTCCTCTCCCTCTCTCTCCCCCCTCTCACCTTGTCTCCTCTGAAGCCGTCTGGTAGGACCCAGTAGTAGATGTCTTTGGGGATGTCAGAGAAGGAGCGGTACGCCACCTCTGAGGAGCCTTTCTGGGTGATACCATCTGTGATAGTCCTGGAGTTAGCACTGTTGGAGAGGGAGAACAGCTGCCCATTCACACCACCACGGACCTGGGGGATACAAACAGCCACACTTTAGATACAACGTCTTTGTGTCTTCTCAGTCCTCAAGAGTCCAAGCGAATAGGGCTCAAGTGCACTTAAGCCAGACTCAATGCACTGCTGTGGTTTAGGATGTGCTTGACCATTCCTTGTATTTTGTGATGTCTTACGTGCCCTATAGAAGTAGTGTGTATTGGTATTAGTACGGCCAGGCCACTGACCTGGTCTCGGCTCCAGGTGGAGCTGGCACACTGCCTGGTGACGCCCATACAGAAGCACTGCAGACAGCCCTCTGGGTTGTCCTCTGTCAGGTGGAAGGAGCCGCTCTTACACTCGTCACACTGCGACCCCACCACGTTGGACTGCAACACAACACACGCACACATACACACACACACACACACACACACACCAGACACACATCTGTCATGCATCCGACTCACTGACTGACTGACTGGCTGGCTCATCATAAAAGATGATCATATAATAATGGCAGTAAGACCTAGACAGGTCCAAGTTTATGACCAGGGGTCTCCAACAGGTTGATCATATAATAATGGCAGTAAGACCTAGACAGGTCCAAGTTTATGACCAGAGGTCTCCAACAGGTTGATCGTATAATAATGGCAGTAAGACCTAGACAGGTCCAAGTTTATGACCAGGGGTCTCCAACAGGTTGATCGTATAATAATGGCAGTAAGACCTAGACAGGTCCAAGTTTATGACCAGGGGTCTCCAACAGGTTGATCTCGAGCTACCAGTAGTAGTTCACAGCCCAGCTGAGTAGCTCACCAAACAATTCTTAAAATACATGTAATTGGCACGTGTTCCACCGCAAACTGTGATAAACAAATCTCACTGGTATCAGACACCGCAAGCTCCCAGCTACTATCTAATCAACGCAACATTTACATTATACCACCCCTGGTTAGCCACTATTGGCTTAAAAAGCCAAACCTAACACAATATCTGCCAATTCATTTCCATCAATATAGCCCCTGTCTGTCTGTGTGGTGTGGGCGTTTGTCTATCACTGTGTGTAGCCATGTGATAACCGTTTTGTGGGTTGACAGAAATACTTTCCCCAAAACCTTCTCAATTAAATGTTAACTGCAAAGTAGGCTTACTTGGCAGAAATATACAGTGGGGAAAAAAAGTATTTAGTCAGCCACCAATTGTGCAAGTTCTCCCACTTAAAAAGATGAGAGAGGCCTGTAATTTTCATCATAGGTACACGTCAACTATGACAGACAAAATTAGAAAAAAAAATCCAGAAAATCACATTGTAGGATTTTTTATGGATTTATTTGCAAATTATGGTGGAAAATAAGTATTTGGTCAATAACAAAAGTTTCTCAATACTTTGTTATATACCCTTTGTTGGCAATGACACAGGTCAAACGTTTTCTGTAAGTCTTCATAAGGTTTTCACACACTGTTGCTGGTATTTTGGCCCATTCCTCCATGCAGATCTCCTCTAGAGCAGTGATGTTTTGGGGCTGTCACTGGGCAACACAGACTTTCAACTCCCTCCAAAGATTTTCTATGGGGTTGAGATCTGGAGACTGGCTAGCCCACTCCAGGACCTTGAAATGCTTCTTACGAAGCCACTCCTTCGTTGCCCGGGCGGTGTGTTTGGGATCATTGTCATGCTGAAAGACCCAGCCACGTTTCATCTTCAATGCCCTTGCTGATGGAAGGAGGTTTTCACTCAAAATCTCACGATACATGGCCCCATTCATTCTTTCCTTTACACGGATCAGTCGTCCTTGTCCCTTTGCAGAAAAACAGCCCCAAAGCATGATGTTTCCACCCCCATGCTTCACAGTAGGTATGGTGTTCTTTGGATGCAACTCAGCATTCTTTGTCCTCCAAACACGACGAGTTGAGTTTTTACCAAAAAGTTCTATTTTGGTTTCATCTGACCATATGACATTCTCCCAATCCTCTTCTGGATCATCCAAATGCACTCTAGCAAACTTCAGACGGGCCTGGACATGTACTGGCTTAAGCAGGGGGACACGTCTGGCACTGCAGGATTTGAGTCCCTGGCGGCGTAGTGTGTTACTGATGGTAGGCTTTGTTACTTTGGTCCCAGCTCTCTGCAGGTCATTCACTAGGTCCCCCCATGTGGTTCTGGGATTTTTGCTCACCGTTCTTGTGATCATTTTGACCCCACGGGGTGAGATCTTGCGTGGAGCCCCAGATCGAGGGAGATTATCAGTGGTCTTGTATGTCTTCCATTTCCTAATAATTGCTCCCACAGTTGATTTCTTCAAACCAAGCTACTTACCTATTGCAGATTCAGTCTTCCCAGTCTGGTGCAGGTCTACAATTTTGTTTCTGGTGTCCTTTGACAGCTCTTTGGTGTTGGCCATAGTGGAGTTTGGAGTGTGACTGTTTGAGGTTGTGGACAGGTGTCTTTTATACTGATAACAAGTTCAAACAGGTGCCATTAATACAGGTAACGAGTGGAGGACAGAGGAGCCTCTTAAAGAAGAAGTTACAGGTCTGTGAGAGCCAGAAATCTTGCTTGTTTGTAGGTGACCAAATACTTATTTTCCACCATAATTTGCAAATAAATTCATTAAAAATCCTACAATGTGATTTTCTGGATTTTTTTTTCTCAATTTGTCTGTCATAGTTGACGTGTACCTATGATGAAAATTACAGGCCTCTCTCATCTTTTTAAGTGGGAGAACTTGCACAATTGGTGGCTGACTAAATACTTTTTTTCCCCCACTGTATAATGAGTAAGTATATCATTTGTATCTATTATTCGCTAACTTTTCCATGAAAAGCAGTACGGAACCATCGCTAGGCCGGCACATTCCTCACTCGCTAGATGCGCAATTAAAGGGCCAGATGCTCAACTAAAGGGGAATTGCACAAAAAAATAAACGTGTTTGTTTTCTTCCAGACCTTCTGATGTGATTTAAGCATTGACATGGACTCAGAACATTCAATTGAGTTGTTTCTCTATGAACAATTGTAATTTTGAGAGTTAAAAAATATGTATAATCAAAAACCAGGGAAATTTCAACTGACAAAACATAATATGGGAAAATATAAAACAACATTTTTGAAAAGAATCATAGATTTTACAGGGCCCCCTTCCAGTTGGTTATTAACCATTATTTGACCAGGTATATTGACAGAAAACATACTGCACTACTTTCCCTTGGACACTGTGGAACTGGGCAAGAGTTGCAGGGGAGAGGAGAAGAGAAGAACATGCCTATTTAAAAGCTAGAAAAAAATGTGTAGCTCATGACACGTTTCATTTTTTAAAAGTAGCTCTCATGCTAGAAAAGATAGGAGACCCCTGGACTAGACAATGGAGTTAAACTGTTGGTGATTGAGTGTAATTTTTTACTACAGCATATCTAAACTCCTAAATCTAATCTAAAGCCCTATTCATAACTATGGTCGTAAGAATTAAGTACAGTAAGTCAAAGCAGCGTAGTATGTTACCTTGCAGGTGCATGGTCTGCTGTTGGAGTTCACTGTTCCTCTGCTATCACACTTTGAGTTTGCTGAAGGAGGGAAGGGAGTGAGGGGGAGGGAGGCAGGGAGGGAGGGGAGGGAGTGAGGGATGGAGGGGAGAGAGGGGGAGGGAGGGAGGCGAGGGAGGGAGGGAGGGAGGGAGGGAGGGAGGGAGGGAGGGAGGGAGGGAGGGAGGGCGGGGCGGGCGGGGACATATGGATATGGATCAGTACCTGGGAGTGCTCCACCAACTCCAACCCCTCCACAACCATTCAACATACCAGGCTGATGATGACACCCCCCTCAGCAGGTATGACTGATGTTAATACAGAGGGTCTTAAAGGTAAAGCAGGACATAAAGCATGGCATGCACTAGAGCTAAAACCAATCATATACAGTCGTGGTCAAAAGTTTTGAGAATAACACAAGTATTGGTCTTCACAAAGTTCGCTGCTTCAGTGTTATGAGATATTTTTGTCAGATGTTACTATGGTATACTGAAGTATAATTACAAGTATTCCATACGTGTCAAAGGCTTTTATTGACAATTACATTAACTTTATGCAAAGAGTCAATATTTGCAGTGTTGACCCTTCTTTTTCAAGACCTCTGCAATCCGCCCTGGCATGCTGTCAATTAACTTCTGGGCCACATCCTGACTGATGGCAGCCCATTCTTGCATAATCAATGCTTGGAGTTTGTCAGAATTTGTGGGGTTTTGTTTGTCCACCCGCCTCTTGAGGATCGACCACAAGTTCTCAATTGGATTAAGGTCTGGGGAGTTTCCTGGCCATGGACCCAAAATGTCGATGTTTTCTTCCCCGAGCCACTTAGTTATCACTTTTGCCTTATGGCAAGGTGCTCCATCATGCTGGAAAAGGCATTGGTCGTCACCAAACTGTTCTTGGATGGTTGGGAGAAGTTGCTCTCAGAGGATGTGTTGGTACCATTCTTTATTCATGGCTGTGTTCTTAGGCAAAATTGTGAGTGAGCCCACTCCCTTGGCTGAGAAGCAACCCCACACATGAATGGTCTCAGGATGCTTTACTGTTGGCATGACACAGGACTGATGGTAGCGCTCACCTTGTCTTCTCCGGACAAGGTGTTTTCCGGATGCCCCAAACAATCGGAAAGGGGATTCATCAGAGAAAATGTCTTTACCCCAGTCCTCAGCAGTCCCTGTACCTTTTGCAGAATATGTCCCTGATGTTTTTCCTGGAGAGAAGTGGCTTCTTTGCTGCCCTTCTTGACACCAGGCCATCCTCGAAAAGTCTTCGCCTCACCTGCTGCCATTCCTGAGCAAGCTCTGCACTGGTGGTGCCCCGATCCCGCAGCTGAATCAACTTTAGGAGACGGTCCTGGCGCTCGCTGGACTTTCTTGGGCGCCCTGACGCCTTCTTCACAACAATTGAACCTCTCTCCTTGAAGTTCTTGATGATCCGATAAATGGTTGATTTAGATGCAATCTTACTAGCAGCAATATCCTTGCCTGTGAAGTCCTTTTTGTGCAAAGCAATGATGACGACACGTGTTTCCTTGCAGGTAACCATGGTTAACAGAGGAAGAACAATGATTTCAAGCACCACCCTCATTTTAAAGCTTCCAGTCTGTTATTCTAACACAATCAGCATGACAGAGTGATCTCCAGCCTTGTCCTCGTCAACACTCTCACCTGTGTTAACGAGAGAATCACTGACATGATGGCAGCTGGTCCTTTTGTGGCAGTGCTGAAATGCAGTGGAAATGTTTTTGGGGGATTAAGTTCATTTTCATGGCAAAGAGGGACTTTGCAATTAATTGCAATTAATCTGATCACTCTTCATCACTCTTCATTCTGGAGTATATGCAAATTGCCATCATCAAAACTGAGGCAGCAGACTTTGTGAAAATTAGTTTTTGTGTCATTCTCAAAACTTTTGACCACGACTGTACTGTACACATGGCTCTGGGTAAAACAATACAAATAAAACATTTTCCTGGCACTTTCAAGCCTAAAAACATTTCCATCCCGATACTGATGTAAAAGAGAACACTCACTGTTTGGAAAACATTTGCCATTTGGCTGTAGTGGGTTACCCTGGTACCCAGGTGCACACCTATGAAGAAAAAAATACCCATAAACATCTTCATCTTTTATAACTATCCTTTATAACTAACTATTCCATATACAGTAAAGCTGTCATTGATTTAAAGACAGTGCAGATGTAAAGGGGTGTGATGTCATTTGTGACTCCCTTACTTTTCACAGCGGCGGCCGGTGTAGCCTGGTTTGCAGGCGTCGCACGTGGCCTGAGAGTCATGGTCCAGGAAGCAGGTGTCGGAGAACCTGGGAGTCACAAACAAATCACAGGAGTAGAGTGTTAGCTACATTAATATGTACATTAGCTGCCAGTTAATGGGTAGCAACACAGGTCACAAGGTGACAACACCAGCAATGAATGAATAAGCCCAGTGTTCTTCTGGAGAATCCAGTGACGCCACCCAACAGAGACGTCAACCTGCTGTGTGAAAAAGCTCTTTCCATCCATGTCTCTGTCTGTCACTCAGGGTGTATGTGTGTGTGTGTGTGGTGTGTGTGTGTGTGTGTAACAGACTGTGTGTGTGTGTGTGTGTGTGTGTGTGTGTGTGTGTGTGTGTGTGTGTGTGTGTGTGTGTGTGTGTGTGTGTGTGTGTGTGTGTTGTGTAGGTGTGTGGTGGCCCCTCACCGGCGGGACGTCTCGGTGTATGGGCATGGACAGGGCTTGCAGTCATCGGGGCGACCTCGTCTGGGGTCACCGAAGTAGCCTGGTCTGCACTTGTCACACTGAGGACCTTCAGTGTTGTGCTGGCAGCTCTGAGGAAGGGAGAGGAACGTAATTCAGTTACTACCTCTATATTATGTACATTTGTCAATACATTCCTTAAAGAGCGGCTGAACTAATCAATTCCGCATGTTTTTCTGCTGCTCATTAAGAAAAACAAGATTTGAGTTTTAGGGGTGTTGTTCAATGGGGGTGTGTTATGTTCGCTTTATTGTACTGTAGTATCTGAGGAATTATGACTTTGCTAACGTTTTCAAATGGAACCTGAGAGGAGGTTTATTCAGCTTAGAGGGAGCATCTGGGGAGTAGTTTTAGGGGGACACCCCATAGAACAGAGGAAGTCTGTTGTGTGGAGACAGGTGATTGGTCTGTATGGGAAACCACCCACAGCAGGATAGAATATATACCACAGTTGGGACAAAGGAAGACAGAATAATCATATTTGAGATGGGGCGATTATTCTCCAGGTATCTGCAGGTATCTGTAAATCGACGCTGTAACCCTTTGTTATGAATAAACCTTTATGATGAAATTACAGCGTCAGCGGTTCTCCTTGGTCTCACAGCATAATTAGCAACGTTTTCTCGACACAACAGTACCCTGGCAGTTACTGTTGTTTGTCCCTCTTGAGTCACCATAGCAACAACATAGCCACTACCACTTCCTTAAAATAGTCAGAATTAATCTAAGATAAATAAAAAAATCTGTAATTAATTTTGACGTTTTTGCAGAGGAGGTCTTAGGTCGCGCAGGTGTTTGGTACAGTATTTCTAAAGTTTAAAAAATAGCATGAAAAAGTGCTGTTTCATAGCGAATCATGTTACAGAACAGGTCGCGGCCAGACACAAGACGCTCGCAAATGGGTTTTTGAATTTTGGAATATTGACAAGTGACAGTTGGGATGCAAGTGCGCATCGTCTCAATTCTTATTTTGCCCAAAACAGTGGCAGGCTGGAGTGATCACTATCAAACATATCAGCAAGAGGCTGGGCAGGTCTGTGTCATTGTCTGGAGGTTCACTGCTATGATTGGATAGAGCGTATCAGCGCAGCTGTATATCAGTGCATGATAATTCTCCCTAGGCGTTACCATCCCGTGTTAGTGGGCAAGTGGGCATGATTGTAATCCTAACCCAACCCGTCATGTAAGTCGTGACGACCTCAGTTACACAAACCTCACAAAACTCAGTTTTGTAATATACTGACTTTATGATAAAAATGATCCTACTTGCATTTTTACTATACATTTTGTAAGAATTTGTATACACATTCTCAACACTTAGAACATATTTGTTTACCGCTAAAATACATAGAGGTTAATACAAGTTTATAATAGTATAATAATAACATTATGTTGTAAGGAGTTCTCACCAGACAGTGTCCACTGATGGGGTCACAGGCGCTGGCATGTCCATTACAGTTACATCCAGCACAGGATCCCAGGAAGTTCCCTCCAGACACACGCTCAAAGCCAGTGGAGCACTGTTCACAGGACAGTCCTGAGTAGCCAGGGGGACACCTGGGAGAGACAGACCCACACCATAGAAGCCATTACAACTGAAACTCTCCTACATTTCAAACACAATACAATGCATTGCAACTTTATTTACAATATATCTACAGTTGCAGGCACAAAAAAATGTCTAAGTGCTCAACCTTTTTTGTAGGGATAGTTTGTCACAAAAACCAGTACCACGGTTTAAGTAACTTTTTAGTGCCTGCAACTCTACGGGGCGATAACAAACTACATCCAATCTAAATCCCAACCTCAGCTGAAGTCAGTCTATGGGATCTCACCTGCACTCCTCCACATCCTTGGCATTTCCCTGGATGTTGTACTCCACGGTGGTGGTGTCCATGACGATGTCGCTGAGCGCCACGCTCACCATGTGGTTGTCGTAGACGGTGCGGATGCTGATGGTCTCCAGGCTGGCCAGGGTCATCATCAGGTCCTCACGGGACACCTGGCGACCCGACGAGTGCTGCCAGTTCTCCTACAACAACACATACCAACCATGTAAGATCAGACACTCAACCTATGCATGTTAGGCCTAGACAAGTACATTTTAGCCACTGATCATATACTTTACATTAAAGGCCTAGATGGCTTCATCTTAACAACTGATCATATACTTTACATTAAAGGCCTAGATGGCTTCATCTTAACAACTGATTATATACAAAATGGCTAGACTAGTACATCTCAGCCACTGACCCCATATAGGCTATGTAAGACCTACAAAAGGGTTCCAAAATGGTTATTTGGCTGTCCCCATAGGAGAACCCTTTTTGGTTCCAGGTAGAACCCTTTTTGATTCTAGGTAGAACCCTCTTTAAAAAGGTTATTCAAAGGGTTTTCCTATGGGGACAGCCGAAGAACCCTTTAAGGTTCTAAATAGCACCTTTTTTTCAAAGAGTGTAGAGACAGGTGCATTGTTTTACTAAAAAGGAAGAAGAGGGATAGGAAGGAAACAAAGTGAGGTAGATATGTTGTTGTGATTGACAGATGGACAGAGACCCACCTCAGTGAATTTGATCTCCTTCTTGTTGATCACCCTGGAGGGGGTGGGGTTGCCCCTGCGGTAGACCAGTCTCTGACCGTTCCCTGTCAGAATCACGTCTGGTTTCTCCTCAGGCTCAGTCTCCCCGCGGGCCAGCGTGTAACGCACCTTGTACTTCAGTAAGCCTCCATAGGAGTCAATCTAAATAGACATACAGTCTCTGTATTAATCGTTATATAACTCTGACAAAACTCTGACGAAGGCAGTGAGGCTGAAACAGATTATTTTCAAAAGCAGTGTGGGGGAGCTTCTTTCATTTTAATATGACTTAAAGATTTATTGGGCACTTTCTGAAGCAACCCTCAGATGTGCAAGTTAATTTCATTTATAATTCATATCACTTCAAATAGGAGTTATCTTGCTAGTATAAGCTCATTTCAACATGGCGTCACATTGAGCCATAGGAGAAATGGAGAGCAGGAGAGATGCTGCACCTTGTTGCCCAGGAACTGGCGGGGAAGCGTCCAATAGGAGTCCAGGATGAGGAAGCGTCGTGATAGGTCGACCAGCTGGAACTCCTCCTCTTCAGGGTTGATAAGGAGCTGAGTGGAGGAGAGAGGAGGGGTGCCTGGTCTAGAGGGGTACGTCACGTTCACTCCTAGAGTTAGGGAAGGAGGCAGGGTGTTATGGAGGGAGGCAAGGAGAGAGACATATTTTACATTTTAGTCATTTAGCATTTAATGCATACATTATTTTTTGTATTTTTCATACTGGCCCCCCGTGGGAATATAACCCACAACCCTGGCGTTGCAAACGCCATGCTCTACCAACTGAGCTACATCCCTGCCGGCCATTCCCTCCCCTACCCTGGACGACGCTGGGCCAATTGTGCGCCACCCCATGGGTCTCCCGGTCGCGGCCGGCTACGACAGAGCCTGGATTCGAACCAGGATCTCTGCGCCACTCGGGAGGTGACGAAGTATGAAGTAAGAGAGAGTTTTATCATACCAGTAATGACATTCATATTATGCATGTATAAACAAAAATGTAATGCTTAAATCGTTTTTTAAAGTTCAGTTCAATCAATTACAAATGTATTGTCTTTTTCACTAAATATTTAGGAACGTAAAAATTACATCAACTTTGTCATGTGTATTTGATACAGGCATTTGTATTTAGTGTGGTCCAGGTACCTTTGAAGTCGTCCTCGTCAGTGAAGCGCAGATTGATCTGGTTGCGGTAGCGGCCGGTGTTCCCACAGTTCTTGGTGATGCCGAAGCAGAAGCAGGAGATACAACGTCCCTCCACGCTGAAGTGACCGTCTGGACAGTTTCCTGGTGACGATGACAGAGAGGATGACAAAACTGGACGAAAGGACAGCACGGTGCAAATAGGCCACATAGAACAGACAGACATAGAACAGACAGACATAGAACAGACAGACATAGAACAGACAGACATAGAACAGACAGACATAGAACAGGCAAATAGGTGCAGACAGACATCGGACATTTTAGGCATTTCATATACTCACACTGCCGTTATTTTCTTATACAAAATAATGTAATGAAATAGCCTTTAAAATAATCTAGCTAATCCCAGAGGAGAGTAGTATACAAACAGTGTACCTGATTCCCATTATAGGGCTGACCCGAATCTTACCATGCTGGCTCTGATATTTTATTTTCCAATTGACCTTTCTAGCATGGTTTCAGCAGCTATGGTGGAACCATGCATAACCAGGCCAGCTCAGTCCAGTTTGGCTTGTTTTGGTCTTATATTGTGAATTAGCCTATCCAGTACATACCTGGTTTCTGTATGAGGCTGAGCACCCCGTCAGGGATACCAAACACCAGGCCCTTGGCGTTGATGGCCTCACAGGTGTACGCCCCCTGGTCCGCCTCCTTTACATCACGGATGGTCAGGGTGCCACCCCCATTCTCACTGGTCATTGAGATTCTAGGAAGGCAGATACATACAGATGTAGGATCTTAATTTGATCACCCTGTTGCAGAATAACTTTCCTGCAATGCAGGACATTTAAAACTTGTAGTGTATTTGAGGTTTAAGAAGGCTTCTGAAATTCGTTATTTCCACTTTGAAATTTCAGACTTGATTTTCCCTTACGGAAAATGTATCAACCCCTACCAAAATGTCAATTAATTATAATCCACATAATAATTCACATTTCCTGTTGCTGCAGGATAATTTTCCTGCTGTAGCAAACAGGCTCAAATTAAGGCTGTTGTTGGCTAATATCCACTTCCCGACGTACCAGTAAGCCTTGAGCTAGCCGCAAGCCAGGCCCATCTCCCGGCTATCTACCTCTCTGTCAACCTGACGGGACCTCCTAGTGTCGACACGGAGCCCCGCCGATCCATCACGTCTGGTCTGTTGACGTAATCGTCTGATGTGGTTTCAACAGGCTTCCCGTTGCGACGACCACGAAGATCCATCTGCCAGCCCCGGCCCGCTAGCACGCGCAATCAACAGCCGTGCCTCCTGCTCGCCTGTGCTTTAGCAGCCTACGATCTGCTCCCGGACATACTTAGTGCTGTTCACTGGACCTTATGATCACTCAGCTACACAGCTAATGCCTGCTGGACTGTTCCTTTACACGGTATCCCATCCTGTTTATCTGTTTAGCCTCAGCTCAAACTTTCGTCGCCATTACCAGTGGTTGTCTTCTCGAATAACACCTGTGATTGCGTTATGCCTCTCTCCCATGTCAATATGCCTTGCCTATTTCTGTTTGGGTTAGTTCTTATTATACAATTTCACTGTAGAGCCCCAAGTTCAGCTCAACCAGCCTCAGAGAGCTCCTTTGTCCCACCCCCCATTCACGCGGAGACCGGCTCAATCGGTACCTCGAGTGATGTTATCGCTTTCATAGTTACCCAATGCTTATGTGTACCTCCACTGTACTCATATCCTTATCTGTACATAATGCCCTGAATCTATTCTACAACACCCGGAAATCTGCCCCCTTTCTCTGTACCCAACGCACTAGAAGACCAGTTCTTAAAGCCTTTAGCCGTAACCTTATTCTATTCCTCCTCTGTTCCTCTGGTGATGTAGAGGTTAACCCAGGCCCTGTAGCTCCCAGTATCACTCTTACCCCCCAGGCGCCTTGGAATATTGCATGTTAACATCAGAAGTCTCCTCCCCAAGTTTGAGTTATTCACTGCGTTAGCACACTCTGCCAACCCTGATGTTCTAGCAGTGTCTGAATCTTGGGTTAGGAAGGCTACCAAAAATTCAGAAATTTCCATTCCGAACTACAACATTTTCCGTCTAGATATAACTGCCAAAGGGGGCGGAGTTGCAATCTACTCTAGAGATAGCCAGCAGAGCTCTATCATACTATCCAGGTCTGTGCCCAAACAGTTTGAGCTTCTACTTCTAAAAATCCACCTTTAAAGAAATACGTTTCTCACTGTTGCCGCTTGCTACAGACCCCCCTCAGCCCCCAGTTGTGCCCTGGACACCATATGTGAATTGCTTGCCCCCCATCTATCCTCAGAGTTCGTACTGTTTGGTGACCTAAACTGGGATATGCTTAACACCCCGGCCGTCCTACAATATAAACTAGATGCCCTCAATCTCACACAAATTATCAAGGGACCTACCAGGTACAACCCTAAATCCGTAAACATGGGCACCCTCATAGATATCATCATGACTAATTAACCCTCTAAATACACCTCTGCTGTCTTCAACCAGGATCTCAGCGATCACTGCCTCATTGCCTGCGTCCGTAATGGGTCCGCGGTCAAACGACCACCCCTCATCACTGTCAAACGCTCCCTAAAACACTTCAGTGAGCAGGCCTTTCTAATTGCCCTGGCCCGGGTATCCTGGATGGCTATTGACCTCATTCTGTCAGTAGAGGATGCCTGGATGTTCTTCAAAAGTGCTTTCCTCTCCATCTTAAATAAGCATGCCCCATTCAAAAAATTCAGAACTAAGAACAGATATAGCCCCTGGTTCACCCCAGACTTGACCAGCACAAAAACATCCTGTGGCGTACTGCATTAGCATCGAACAGCCCCCGCAATATGCAACTTTTCAGGGAAGTCAGGAACCAATATACACAATCAGTTAGGAAAGCAAAGGCTAGCTTTTTCAAACAGAAATGTGCATCTTGTAGCACTAACTCCAAAAAGGTTTGGGACACTGTAAAGTCCATGGAGAATAAGAGCACCTCCTCCCAGCTACCCACTGCACTGAGGCTAGGAAACACTGTCACCACCGATAAATCTACGATAATTGAGAATGTCAATAAGCATTTTGCTACAGTCAATCAATCAATCAATTTTATTTTATATAGCCCTTCTTACATCAGCTAATATCTCGAAGTGCTGTACAGAAACCCAGCCTAAAACCCCAAACAGCTAGTAATGCAGGTGTAGAAGCACGGTGGCTAGGAAAAAACTCCCTAGAAAGGCGAAAACCTAGGAAGAAACCTAGAGAGGAACCAGGCTATGAGGGGTGGCCAGTCCTCTTCTGGCTGTGCCGGGTGGAGATTATAACAGAACCATGCCAAGATGTTCAAAAATGTTCATAAGTGACAAGCATGGTCAAATAATAATCAGGAATAAATCTCAGTTGGCTTTTCATAGCCGATCATTAAGAGTTGAAAACAGCAGGTCTGGGACAGGTAGGGGTTCCATAACCGCAGGCAGAACAGTTGAAACTGGAATAGCAGCAAGGCCAGGCGGACTGGGGACAGCAAGGAGTCACCACGGCCGGTAGTCCCGACGTATGGTCCTAGGGCTCAGGTCTCTCAGTTGGCTTTTCATAGCCGATCATTAAGAGTTGAAAACAGCAGGTCTGGGACAGGTAGGGGTTTCGTAGCCGCAGGCAGAACAGTTGAAACTGGAATAGCAGCAAGGCCAGGCGGACTGGGGACAGCAAGGTGTCATCATGCCCGGTAGTCCTGACGTATGGTCCTAGGGCTCAGGTTCTCAGAGAGAAAGAGAGAACGAGAGAATTAGAGAGAGCATACTTAAATTCACACAGGACACTGGATAAGACAGGAGAAGTACTCCAGGTATAACCAACTAACCCCAGCCCCCCGACACATAAACTACTGCAGCATAAATACTGGAGGCTGAGACAGGAGCGGTCCGGAGACACTGTGGCCCCATCCGAAGAAACCCCCGGACAGGGCCAAACAGGAAGGATATAACCCCACCCACTCCGCCAAAGCACAGCCCCCGCACCACTAGAGGGATATCCCCAACCACCAACTTACAATCCTGAGACAAGGCCGAGTATAGCCCACAGAGGTCTCCACCACAGCACAAACCAAGGGGGGGGCGCCAACCCAGACAGGAAGATCACGTCAGTAACTCAACCCACTCAAGTGACGCACCCCTCCCAGGGACGGCATGAAAGAGCACCAGCAAGCCAGTGACTCAGCCCCTGCAACAGGGTTAGAGGCAGAGAACCCCAGTGGAGAGGGGAACCGGCCCGGCAGAGACAGCAAGGGCTGTTCGTTGCTCCAGCCTTTCCGTTCACCTTCACACTCCTGGGCCAGACTACACTCAATCATATGACCTACTGAAGAGATAAGTCTTCAGTAAAGACTTAAAGGTTGAGACCGAGTCTGCGTCTCTCACATGGGTAGGCAGACTGTTCCATAAAAATGGAGATCTATAGGAGAAAGCCCTGCCTCCCGCTGTTTGCTTAGAAATTCTAGGGACAATTAGGAGGCCTGCGTCTTGTGACCGTAGCGTACGTATTGGTATGTACGGCAGGACCAACTCGGAAAGATAGGTAGGAGCAAGCCCATGTAACGCTTTATAGGTTAACAGTAAAACCTTGAAATCAGCCCTTGCCTTAACAGGAAGCCAGTGTAGGGAAGCTAGCACTGGAGTAATATGATCAAATTTCTTGGTTCTAGTCAGGATTCTAGCAGCCGTATTTAGCACTAACTGAAGTTTATTTAGTGCTTTATCCGGGTAGCCGGAAAATAGAGCATTGCAGTAGTCTAACCTAGAAGTAACAAATGCATGGATTAATTTTTCTGCATCATCTATTTACAGCTGGCCATGCTTTCCACCTGGCTACCCCTACCCCGGCCACCAGCTCTTCACCCTCCGCTGCAACTTGCCCATGCCCCCACGCTTCTCCTTCACCCAAATTCAGATAGCTGATGTCCCGAAAGAGCTGCTAAATCTGGACCCCTACAAATCAGCTGGGCTAGACATTCTGGACCCTTTCTTTTTTAAATTAGCAGCAGAAATTGTCGCAACCCCTATTACTAGCCTGTTCAACCTCTCTTTCGTATCGTCTGAGATCCCCAGAGATTGGAAAGCTGCCGCGGTCATCCCCCTCTTCAAATGGTTCAACAGCGCCGGAGAAGATGGCTGCCGTTTTACAGCCCTCTAACCAATTGTACTATTATGTGTGTTTTTCCGCGTTATTTGTAATTTATTTTGTACATAATGTTTCTGCCATCGTCTCTTATAACCAAAAAGAGCTTCTGGATATCAGGACAGCGATTACTCACCTCGTATTGGACGAAGATTTTTTCTTCAACGAGGCGGCCGCGAAGGATATCATACAGACACCCGACAAGGCCCAAATCCCCGTCATTCGCGTGAGGAAGAGACGGAGATATCGTGGACGGAGATCGGGGTGCCTTGTAAGGATCCGACGGCGAGCGAGTAAACTGCCTCTTCCATCAATCCTATTAGCCAACGTTCAATCTTTTGAAAATAAAGTGGACGACTTAAGATTACGGTTATCCTACCAACGGGACATTAAAAACTGTAATATCTTATGTTTCACCGAGTCGTGGCTGAACGACGACAATGATAACATTCAGCTAGCAGGCTATACGCTACATCGGCAGGACAGAACGGCTGACTCCGGTAAGACAAGGGGTGGCGGTCTGTGTATATTTGTAAACAACAGCTGGTGCACAAAATCAAATACTAAGGAAGTCTCGAGGTTTTGCTCGCCTGAGGTAGAGTATCTTATGATAAGCTGTAGACCACACTATTTACCAAGAGAGTTTTCATCTATATTTTTCATAGCTGTCTATTTACCACCACAAACCAATGCTGGCATTAAGATTGCACTGAATGAGTTGTACAAGGCCATTAATCAACAGGAAAACGCTCATCCAGATGCAGCGCTCCTAGTGGCCGGGGACTTTAATGCAGGGAAACTTACATCCGTTCTACCTAATTTCTACCAGCATGTTAAATGTGCAACCAGAGGGAAAAAAAACTCTAGACCACCTTTACTCCACACACAGAGACGCATACAAAGCTCTCCCTCGCCCTCCATTTGGCAAATCTGACCATAACTCTATCCTCCTGATTCCTGCTTATAAGCAAAAACTAAAGCAGGAAGCACCAGTGACTCGGTTAATAAAAAAGTGGTCAGATGACGCAGATGCTAAGCTACAGGACTGTTTTGCTAGCACAGACTGGAACATGTTCCGGGATTCTTCAGACAGCATTGAGGAGTACACCACATCAGTCACTGGCTTCATCAATAAGTGCATCGATGATGTCGTCCCCACAGTGACCGTACGTACATACCCCAACCAGAAGCCATGGATTACAGGAAACATCCGTACTGAGCTAAAGGGTAGAGCTGCCGCTTTCAAGGAACGGGACTCTAACCCGGACGCTTATAAGAAATCCCGCTATGACCTCCGACGAACCATCAAACAGGCAAAGAGTCAATACAGGTCTAAGATTGAATCGTACTACACTGGCTCTGACGCTCGTCGGATGTGGCAGGGCTTGAAAACTATTACAGACTACAAAGGGAAGCACAGCCGCGAGCTGCCCAGTGACACAAGCCTACCAGACGAGCTAAACCACTTCTATGCTCGCTTCGAGGCAAGCAACACTGAAGCATGCATGAGAGCACCAGCTGTTCCGGATGACTATGTGATCACGCTCTCCGTAGCCGATGTGAGTAAGACTTTTAAGCAGGTCAACATTCACAAGGCCGAAGGGCCAGACGGATTACCAGGACGTGTACTCCGAGCATGTGCTGACCAACTGGCAAGTGTCTTCACTGACATTTTCAACATGTCCCTGACTGAGTCTGTAATACCAACATGTTTCAAGCAGACCACCATAGTCCCCGTGCCCAAGGACTCTAAGATAACCTGCCTAAATGACTACCGGCCCGTAGCACTGACGTCTGTAGCCATGAAGTGTTTTGAAAGGCTGGTCATGGCTCACATCAACAGCATTATCCCAGAAACCCTAGACCCACTCCAATTTGCATACCGCCCCAACAGATCCACAGATGATGCAATCTCTATTGCACTCCACACTGCCCTTTCCCACCTGGACAAGAGGAACACCTACGTGAGAATGCTATTCATTGACTACAGCTCAGCATTCAACACCATAGTGCCCTCTAAGCTCATCACTAAGCTAAGTATCCTGGGACTAAACACCTCCCTCTGCAACTGGATCCTGGACTTCCTGACGGGCCGCCCCCAGGTGGTAAGGGTAGGTAACAACACATCTGCCACACTGATCCTCAACACGGGGGCCCCTCAGGGGTGCGTGCTCAGTCCCCTCCTGTACTCTCTGTTCACCCATGACTGCATGGCCAGGCACGACTCCAACACCATCATTAAGTTTGCCGACGACACAACAGTGGTAGGCCTGATCACCGACAACGATGAGACAGCCTATAGGGAGGAGGTCAGAGATCTGGCCGTGTGGTGCCAGGACAACAACCTCTCCCTCAACGTGACCAAGACAAAGGAGATGATTGTGGACTACAGGAAAAAAAAGAGGACTGAGCACGCCCCCATTCTCATCGACGGGGCTGTAGTGGAACAGGTTGAGAGCTTCAAGTTCCTTGGTGTCCACATCACCAACGAACTATCATGGTCCAAACACACCAAGACAGTCGTGAAGAGGGCACGACAAAGCCTATTCCCCCTCAGGAGACTAAAAAGATTTGGCATGGGTCCTCAGATCCTCAAAAAATTCTACAGCTGCACCATCGAGAGCATCCTGACTGGTTGCATCACCGCCTGGTATGGCAACTGCTTGGCCTCTGACCGCAAGGCACTACAGAGGGTAGTGCGTACGGCCCAGTACATCACTGGGGCAAAGCTTCCTGCCATCCAGGACCTCTATACCAGGCGGTGTCAGAGGAAGGCCCTCAAAATTGTCAAAGACTCCAGCCACCCTAGTCATAGACTGTTCTCTCTGCTACCGCACGGCAAGCGGTACCGGAGTGCCAAGTCTAGGTCCAAAAGACTTCTCAACAGCTTCTACCCCCAAGCCATAAGACTCCTGAACAGCTAATCATGGCTACCCGGACTATTTGCACTGCCCCCCCACCCCATCCTTTTTACGCTGCTGCTATTCTGTTAAGTATTTATGCATAGTCACTTTAACTCTACCCACATGTACATATTACCTCAACTACCTCAACTAGCCGGTGCCCCCGCACATTGACTCTGCAACGGTACCCCCCTGTATATATAGCCTCCCTACTGTCACTTTATTTTACTTCTGCTCTTTTTTTTCTCAACACTTTTTTTTGTTGTTGTTTTATTTTTACTTTTTTTGTTTAAAATAAATGCACTGTTGGTTAAGGGCTGTAAGTAAGCATTTCACTGTAATGTCTGCACCTGTTGTATTCGGCGCATGTGACCAATAAAATTTGATTTGATTTGATTTTGACTCTAGATCCAAACTGTTACAGACCTATATCCATCCTGCCCTGCCTTTCGAAAGTATTTGAAAGCCTAGTTAACAAACAGATCACCGACCATTTCGAATCCCACCGTACGTTCTCCGCTATGCAATCTGGTTTCCGAGCTGGTCATGGGTGCACCTCAGCCACGCTCAAGGTCCTAAACGATATAATAACCGCGATCGATATAAGACAGTACTGTGCAGCCGTCTTCATCGACCTGGCCAAGGCTTTTGACTCTGTCAATCACCGCATTCTTATTGGCAGACTAAATAGCCTTGGTTTCTCAAATGACTGCCTCGCCTGGTTCACCAACTACTTCTCAGATAGAGTTCAATGTGTCAAATCGGAGGGCCTGTTGTTTGGACGTCTGGCAGTCTCTATGGGGGTGCCACAGGGTTCAATGCTCGGGCCGACTCTATTCTCTGTGTATATCAATGATGTCACTCTTGCTGCTGGTGACTCTCAGATCCACCTCTACGAAGACGACACCATTTTGTATACATCTGGCCCTTCATTGGACACTGTGTTAACAAACCTCCAAACGAGCTTCAATGCCATACAACACTCCTTCCGTGGCCTCCAACTGCTCTTTAGTAAAACTAAATGCATGCTCTTCATTCGAACGCTGCTTGCACCCGACCGCCCGACTAGAATCACTACTCTCGGCGGGTCTGACTTAGAATAACTACAAATACCTAGGTGTCTGGTTAGACCGTAAACTCTCCTTCCAGACTCACATTAAGCATCTCCAATCCAAAGTTAAATCTAGAATCGGCTTCTTATTTCGCAAAAAAGCCTCCTTCACTCATGCTGCTATACATGCCCTCGTAAAACTGACTATCCTACCGATCCTTGACTTCGGCGATGTCATTTACAAAATAGTTTCCAACATTACTCAGCAAATTGGATGTAGTCTATCACAGTGCCATCCGTTTTGTCACCAAAGCCCCATATACTACTCACCATTGTGACCTGTAAGCTCTCGTTAGCTGGCCCTCACTACATATTCGTCACCAAACCCACTGGCTCCAGGTCATCTATAAATCACTTCTAGGCAAATCCCCGCCTTATCTTAGATCATTGGTCACCATAGCAACACCCACCCCTAGTATGCATTCCAGAAGGTATCTCTCACTGGTCATTCCCAAAGCCAACACCTCCTTTGGCCGCCATTCCTTCCAGTTCTCTGCTGCAAATGACTGGAACGAACTGCAAAATTCTCTGAAGCTGGAGACACTTATCTCCCTCACTAACTTTAAGCATCAGTTGTCAGAGCAGCTTACCGATCACTGCACCTGTACAGAGCCCATCTGAAATTAGCCCACCCAACTACCTCATCCCCATATTGTTATTTACATTGTTATTTATTTTGCTCATTTGCACCCCAGTATCTCTATTTGCACATCATCTTCTGCACATCTATTACTCCAGTGTTAATACTAAATTGTAATTATTTTGAACTATGGCCTATTTATTGCCTTACCTCCATAACTTACTACATTTGCACACACTGTATATAGATTTTTTATTGTGTTATTGACTACATTTTGTTTTTGTTTATTCCATATGTAACTCTGTGTTGTTGTTGTTTTTATCGCACTGCTTTGCTTTATCTTGGCCAGGTCGCAGTTGTAAATGAGAACTTGTTCTCAACTGGCTTACCTGGTTAAATAAAGGTGAAATAAAATAAATAAAAAAGATCCTACATGTGTATACATTGCTTACATTACATTAATGCTTCAATCACATAAAATACAGAAGCCTGTGGTCAACTCTTCTGCAGCCAAACAATGATGATTCACTTTTCACAGTTAACACAAGTGTCTAAAGGGCTTTCAGAGGACAAGGAATATTCTGACTCTAAATGCATTTTCTGAACTGACACATTGCTATATGAACCGCCATACTCTCTGCAACTTTAGGCTTTCATTATGGTATGTTTTAATAGTGATTGAAATAGTTAAACATGCACTATGCAGATATCGCTCCGCCATTTCCTGGTTGCTAAAATTCTAATAGTTCACCTAATTTCAGTTTATGTGACAAAACAAGCAAGTAAAGTGTAGAGAATCATTGTACCATCTAAACCGCTGTGAAATATATTTTCAGCTGTTTGAAGCTGGTGTACAAAACTGAAAAGTAAAATGAAACTTAAGAACGGGTAGCATAGAAATTGGTCACATAGAACATATATTCTGCGTCTTAGACTTGCTTTCAATGAGAATGACAGATCTATAACACACATTTCTATGTGAATTTGGTCGGGTCGACACCAAAAATGTACATATTGTAGCTTTACCTCTCTGATAGGGATTTTATTTTGACGGATTATATATAACTTTACTGTATAACACAAACAGCCATTCAATGAATGCACAGTAAGCTGAGTTATCTGTTTTTGCACATTGCGAAAATCATTTTCCACTTAGAGATCATTATCGCAAAGCCACAAAGCAATAATTTAATAACTCAATAATTGATGACAGATGACTGGCCTGTAGATCAGATATATGACTGAGCTTAAACAGCAATGAATGAAATGCTGTAATTTGTGGGCTGACAAGATTGGATAGCGGACAAATCCTTACTCATTTCAAAATCTTCACGGTCTGTTTCCAATCAATTATACGGAAGACTAATTTCACACAATTCCCCAAATTAAACCCAGCATTTTTTCCAGCGCTATCAATGCAAAGTTCAACACTATCTTCCATAATAGCACCAGACAGACAGAGTTTGAAGAGAAGTCATGTGTATCATGCATCAGATGGGTTCAGAACTCCACATTAAATGTTTATTTGATGCATATGAATTTATCAAATGTTTGCCAACACACACACACAGACATTTTCAAATGCAACTTAACATTCCATTGATTCAGGCTGGGTCCATTCAGGCTGGGGCCATTGGCTTAAATGCCTCACTACGTTTATGATAAGAGCTGTTATGGGCTGAACCAGAGAAGGAGGAGGACTGTACCAACTCACCTGCCACTGACAGGGATATGGCCCCAGTTGAGCCTCCAGGTGATGATGGGGGTAGGAACACCCACTGCCACACAGTTGAAGGTCACCGTCTCCCCCCGCACCGCCTGAATGGACTCCTCCGGGGGACTGGTCACCGTGGGAGGAGCTTAAAGACAAAGTTACGAGAAAACAACAACAAAGATGAGCATCTATAAAGCCAAGTATGCACTGTGTGATGCATGATGGCACACACATATTCAAAAACAAGTCCCAACTACCCAACCTCAATTTAAAAGGTCAGTGGTTTATTGGGGTATTCAGTCTCTTTAGTGCGAAACAAAAATTATGGAAAGTCCGAAAAAAATACTCTTTGCCATGGATGGACAACATCCCAAAAGTTCTGTGTCTATGTCACCGAAGTATGAATGGAACCTGAGTCACTGCAGTGGTTATGGTACAAAGGATGACTATACAGGAGAGACACATAGAGGCTTACAGAGAAAGAAGGGGGGTTGGAGGTCAGAGGGCGTTTTGAGAGAGAGAGAATGAAAGACAGAGGAGGTAGAGAAAGAGAGTGAGAAGAGTGTATGGGTGAGAGAGAGAAAGAGAGACACACATACATGGTGTGTGAGAGAGATATAAAGGAGAAAGAGAGAGATAAAGAGAGAGCGAGAGCGAGAGAGAGAGAGACAGAGAGAGAGAGTGAACAGAGAGACACAGGCAGATAGATGTCATGACGCTCAGGGTCTGGGACTTACTGCAGCCGTACTCATCAGAGCGGTCTGGGCAGTCTGGCTCTTCATCACACTGATAGCTGGATGGGATGCAGGTGCGGTCACTGAGGCACACAAACTGCTCTGGGGCACACGTGTCACCTGGACCTCTGGTGGCTGGAGAACCAGAAGAGATGGAAAATCACTTAGTCATTAATCATTTTAACATTTAAGTTTCCAAGGAGCTCTAAAAGCGTTTGAAAAATATGTGAATCATTTTAAATGAACTAGTTTGGCTTCAGATCAGCAAACAGGAGTGCTGACTTACGGCAGTCTGTCTCGTCTGAGTTGTCCTCGCAGTCGTTGTCTCCGTCGCAGCGCCACAGCTTGAGAGCACAGCGGCCGTTCTTACACTTGAACTCATTGGGTTCACAGGGAGAGGGAGTGCCTGGAGACAGACATGGAGCCTGGATCAGACACCTTGATCAGGTGTGTTTGCATTAAGCGGATGCAAAGCGTTGTGTCTGATCGTAATTGTGTTTGTGTGTGTGTCAGGGTTTCCATTAGGAAAATGTGGCGCCTTTCATTTGACCGGCAGCATTTTAATTTACTGGACATTTAAGAAATGTACCAGATCCCTATGCATTGGTTGCGCAACCTGATTAGGGCATCCACCCACTGTGCTTAGAATGCCAGAAATCACATTTAGTTTATGGTCATTCATCTTAACAGAACATGCAACGGCGTGCGTCATTCTTACCGAATTCCGATGAGAAATTTGAAGATGTTAGAATACATATGCAGCGCGTCCATATAGGGGAAGCTTAGCTTTCCCTAAAGTAAATTGAATTGCCAAAATTATATAGCCTAAATAGCTTACTCCTGTCTATACATAAATAAATAAAATCATTCAAAATACTGTAGGCTACTACACCAGAAAGCATGATTTGGCCACAAAGGATCACATAGCCTACAGTCGGAAGGGCCCACAATTTGGGCAGAGCACGCAGCAAATACCAAATAGATGATTGTTGAGTTGCGACTGTCAGTGAAAATGAGAGACCCAGTCAGGCATATCGCAATATTTAAAAATACAATCATGGAAAAACAGTTTGGAAAGCGAAATAGCCATTACTGTAAATAGAAGACAATGAAATGACTCCAATCTGACTTTTAACTGTCAAAATGTTCAACTTAATTGAGTGAAAAGTAGCCAATCTTATTGGCACCAGCGGAGAACATTGGCCATATCCCCGGTGAGTGTGCATATTCACTGTCTTTATCATTGGGTCAGTGCCACTTTTGTTTGTTTTTGGACAATAATTTCCTCCTCCAGATTAGACGGACGTCATATTGTATTTGTGTCTCCCCTTTTCGTAGGCCCAGAGTAGGCTACCCTGTAATTTTTGTTGTATTAAAAAAGATTCTGCTAATGTCTCCAGTCATATAAAATGGAGTAGACTTGCATGAAATGTGTTTATGAATGGCCAACATTTTCCTGTGATATAGCCTATAACCTGCCTACTCTACGCCACTATGCACTGCATTGAACAGTCTTTTTTGCGAACAGTGATTGAGTTATATTATTAGACTAAATTATGACTATCCAATCTAATCATCACATTAGGAATAGTAGGCTATCTTACATAAGTCTGCAAATGCAAGGATGCATGGAATGCTTTATTATAAAGGTGCATTTCTATGGTGAAAATTAGCTTCCCCAAACTTGAAACCCATGCGCTGCCTATGTTAGAATAACTGTCCACATTTACTTATCCTCAGCCAACAAGACGAGTAACGAACAGCAAAATCACTAGCCTATGCCAATCTACTAACCCCCATAGTAGAACAGTTGACCTATTCTATTGGTCAGCTTGTCGTTCTGTGCGAGAAAGAAATAACCTTTTCCAAACAGATTCTGGGACAGTTGTGGGATGATAGATCCTAAATTCATACAACCAGCAGGCCTGGGTTACATCCCAAAATTGTTTAAAAAGCAATGAGGTTCATGCAACAGATCAGAAGTTTAGCTTAGAATGTTGATAAACTATTATTTCTTCACATTATAAGTGCAGCAATGTGCACAAGGCAGTAGTCTACGCGCGAATGTTTAGAAATGTAGAAAGAGGGGAGATCTAAATATGCAACAACTAGTATGGGTTGCTAATATGACTAGGATTGTGCCTTTTGGCTACTGGACAATGAAAGAAAGTTGATTTGAAAACCAATAGAACATGAGAGAAAAAGGCTACTTGTTTCAATGGCATATGGAAGTTTTTATAAAATAATTGCCTGCAGGTTTGGTTAGATTTTGGCTAGACTACTTTGAAGCAAGGTAAGACATGCCTCAAAATATGTTGTAAAACGTTCAGGTTTCAAACAATTAAGTATATGTTTTCAAAATGCATACTGTCTCCAGCTCATTGTAAAGTGGTGTGTGATGCGCTGAAGCCTGTCTAGTTGCCTATGCACTTGAATGGCGAATGGGAAGTGCGCTTCAATTTACCAGTTGAGAAAAAGAAAATACTAGGCCTAGCTCTTTTTAATTGTCATTATCAAATTTCTATTTTTTTTATACACACGATTGCCTTTAGAATTGTTGCGCAATGATTGGGCTTATTAAAGCACGTTTCACTCCAGCAGCAACAAACAGCTGTTTGATGAGCTGTAGCAGCATCTCTCACGCTACATTGACTGCTATTTCAATCAATGAATAGGCTCAAATGCATTATTTCGCAATGTGATTAAATTTTTCTCCCGGACAATTGACCGGTGGCAATTTTATTTATTGGCTTTTTATTTGTTTTATCTGACAAAAGCCGGCTATTACCGGCTAACAGAAACACTGGTGTGTGTATATACATGCGTGCCTGCGTGTATGTACTTTGAAGTGTTAGTGGTTGCCAATATGTGCTTACCGCATCTGAACTCGTCGCTGCCATCAGAGCAGTCTCTCTCTCCATCACAGAGGTAGTCTCTGGGGACACACTCCCCGTTCTGACAGGTGGCCTGGTCCACTTTGCAGGGCCCTGGGGGACCAGGGGGGCGTGGGGACTTCTTGATGGGGGTGGTGGTGGGAGGGGTGGGGGTAACTGCACCAGGACGGATCTTATCTGAAAACCAACAGAGCTTTTAAAGACCGTTGATCCAAGGGCGAATCCTAACTTACACCTAACTTACATTTTCACTTGGTCATGCATTGATGTCAATAGAACACAATGTGAAAATTCAACATAAGTGAACATTTGAGTTGACACTCTCGTTAGGGTACAAAGATATGTTCAATCAAATGTTTTAGTCAACCATCTAGTCACAACACAGGTCCAGTACCTTTGCCACTACTCCATTCCATACCATGCAACTCACCACAATCCAGCTCGTCACTCATGTCATTGCAATCAGGTCTGTTGTCACACAGGTACTCTAGAGGGATGCACCCCCCATCCTGACACGTGTGCTGATCCTTCATGCACGGCCGAAGGTCGGGGACCACTGAGAGACACGGGGGTGGGGGGGTTCAAGGGTCAGACATGCAGAGCTAAAAGGCCACCACACAACACAACACAATGCTTCCTGTTCAAATCACGTCAAATACAAGCAACCTTCCTCGGTGGAGGCTGGTGTCACTTTAAATCGAAGGATGGGCTCATTGTAATGGCTGGAATGGAATAAATGGAATGGTATCGCAGACACCATGTGTATGATACCGTTCCAATATTCCATTCCAGTTATTACTATGAGCCGTCCTCCTTTCACCAGCCTCCAATGACCCTCCTGGGTCACTGCAGGTCGAGCTGGAGCCTGGGGCTTGTCAAAGTCTAATAGTTCACCGTACCGTACCGGAGGTGGGACATGGCCATAATGTAATGGGAGATCCTTCTGAATAAACTGTTTTGTTGTTGTTACAAATAGCAATATCTGTAACCTAACTCATGCCATGCAAAAATCTTTGCAGTCCTCTTGGGTAGTGCAAAACCAAAATGTTGTCAGACTTCTGCTTCAGGTGCACACATGCATAACATTCCTGCATGAACTCTTAACAGATTTCCAAAGAGCTAATCGTCATCTTGTTCGTCATCATCATCCAGAAATAGCGGCATTCTGCATTCTACACGCACTACAGAACAGTCATGTCACTTCTCCAGCAGCTCTGGCAGTCTTCGTGCAGCAGGCATCGTTCCAGACCTGGGTTCAAATACTATTTTGCTACTATTCTATAGGCTCCATTGCGCCAGGCAAGCTCAATCAAGCCCAGCTAAAGTATTTTAAATGATGTTCCAATAGCTGTGAAGTCAGGTTGGCATGGTACAGTACAAACCTGGCACAGCCATGGGGTTCACAGGGGGCAGAGCTAGAAACCAGAGAGACATGTTAAGGACACTACCTCGGACTCACCTAGCCCTCCTTTTTGTTTCTTTTAATATTGTATTGGTTTATTGACAGAAATTGGTATGATTGAAGGGGAGATATATAGAGGGGAAATAGTGAACACAAGAAATAGCCTTTTCTAGCATGATGCCTTAAGCTGGCTAGCCTAGCTTCATTGAAAGATTGTAATAACATATGATAAATCAATGTCTCAACTAAATAAAGAACACCATAGCTATGAGATCAGACCTATTTTGTTAACTTGTACAGCATTTATGGTAGGTCAGTTAAGACTTCCTAAAATGGATACTGTACTATAGAAATCTTCCTAATATGGATGCCGTTAACTGTAAGTCGCTCTGGATAAGAGCGTCTGCTAAATGACTAAAATGTAAATGTGAATGTATATTTGGCCATGTCAGCATCCTGGAAAGTCCTTACAATGCGGAGTAAATATTATCCCCTGTGGTCCTTACCTTCTCCCAGGCGTCTGAACTGGAAGCCCTGGACAGAGGTGATGTAGGAGGCGATGGCTCCCTCCTTCACCACTCCATAGAGCACGTTGCGGATCTGATTGTCGTTGTTGTTGTAGTCAGAGCCCACGTCAAGCTCTACAAACACATCCACCCCATCCTGCCTCAGCATCTTCCTATACACAGGCCAGGACAGAACAGAGGGGGTTGTTAGAGAGGGACGTGGTGACGATAACGGTACAGTGCTCCAGGTTCAGATGAATGTTGGTCGGGGCATATCAAGATTTTCTCATGGTAAGAACATTGATTAGTTACACTCAGCTTACAACAGTGTTTGGTGGACCAACCAGATGAGTCTAAGCTGTAGCCTAAGCATTAGCTCTGGGAGCCAACAGTCTTCAGATCTCAGACAAGGTTACTCATCACGTGAGCATGGTTCATTGAACCACCTTTGTTACACCCAAGCTAAAGTAAGTCAAGTAAGTAAAAGTAAGACTGGTGGGGTTTTATCAACAGTAGCTGGAGATGAACAGTGATCTTACTTGATGAGGACCACATTGACAGTCTGGCTGCCTGAGATCCTGTTGTACTCTGACTCCAACTGTGAAAGGAGAAAAACAATACTTAGATGGGTACAAACCAGCAGAGATGCATTTTTGGCAACATGTTTTAACAAGTTTAACAACTTTCCTAACAAGTGTTCTAACATATGATGTACAGTAGTTTATAAACTGGGTGGTTCGAGCCCTGAATGCTGATTGGCTGACAGCCATGGTATATCAGACCGTATACCACATGTATGACAAAACATTTATTTTTACTGCTCTAATTACTTTGGTAACCAGTTTATAATAGCAATAAGGCACCTCGGGGGTTTGTGGTATATGGCCAATATACCACGGCTAAGGGCTGTATCCAGGCACTCCGCGTTGCGTTATGCTTAAGAACATCCCTTAGCCGTGGTATATTGGCCATATACCACACCCCCTCGTGCCTTATTGCTTAAATATAGTACCGTAGAGTATATTGACTAAAATGATCTACAGTATATGGCCTCAACTGCAATCAATAACATTGTGTAGCAGACATGACGTGGCAGTGGAATGCAAGGTGTGAGAATCCTGCCCTGGCCTGTGTAAAGTTTACAGCCCTTGTGGGGAGGGAGGGATAGGTCTACTGCTTACAGTACACAGTATACAGTATGTTCTGGAATAGGCCTACCGTATACAGTCCTCAAATTCAAATCTGGGCCTCAAAGCCAGTTCCATTGCTTTTTTGGTTAATTCTTCCCCTCTAATCATGGACAGATTTCGACCTGGGACACCAGGTGGGTGCAATTCATGATCAGGTAGAACAGAAAACCAGCAGTAGTCCGGACCTCAAAGGGTTAGATTTGAATACCTGTGGTATATAGTATATATGGTTCTGGAATAGACCTACCGTGTCCACCACCGCGTCAGAGATCTCCTGGAAAGACAGTGAGTAGATGTCCTCCATGTTAGGCCTGTACACGATGGAGTCTGTGAAGTTCACCAGAGCTCTGTAGTACGCTGGAACACAGAGAGAGACAACTGTTAGTTTAACCATAGGATGACATACAGGAACCACGGCGTGAACATTTATACTCATTTTTCAGCAACATAATGTACACAAAGCCACATTTACATGGGACTTTCTTTTGGTGGTGTTGCCTTATTCAAAATGAATTGAGACTCAAACTTGGATAATGTTTGGGACAAATGTCCCTCAGGGAGGCCTTTGGTTCAATGTTTGGAGAAAGAAACTCACCAAACATAACTGTGGCTAAATTCAGAGCCATGTACAAATGATGGGGTCTATTTCCATATCTCAATTGTGGTCTGTACTAAAAGTGACAACTGTACCACATATACAGGACGCTCGAACAACAGGCACAAGTTAGACGTACACATGCACACATACAGTGGGGAAAAAAAGTATTTAGTCAGCCACCAATTGTGCAAGTTCTCCCACTTAAAAAGATGAGAGAGGCCTGTAATTTTCATCATAGGTACACATCAACTATGACAGACAAAATGAGGGGAAAAAATCCAGAAAATCACATTGTAGGATTTTTAATGAATTTATTTGCAAATTATGGTGGAAAATAAGTATTTGGTCAATAACAAAAGTTTCTCAATACTTTGTTATATACCCTTTGTTGGCAATGACACAGGTCAAACGTTTTCTGTAAGTCTTCACAAGGTTTTCGCACACTGTTGCTGGTATTTTGGCCCATTCCTCCATGCAGATCTCCTCTAGAGCAGTGCTGTTTTGGGGCTGTCGCTGGGCAACACGGACTTTCAACTCCCTCCAAAGATTTTCTATGGGGTTGAGATCTGGAGACTGGCTAGGCCACTCCAGGACCTTGAAATGCTTCTTACGAAGCCACTCCTTCGTTGCCCGGGCGGTGTGTTTGGGATCATTGTCATGCTGAAAGACCCAGCCACGTTTCATCTTCAATGCCCTTGCTGATGGAAGGAGGTTTTCACTCAAAATCTCACGATACATGGCCCCATTCATTCTTTCCTTTACACGGATCAGTCGTCCTGGTCCCTTTGCAGGAAAACAGCCCCAAAGCATGATGTTTCCACCCCCATGCTTCACAGTAGGTATGGTGTTCTTTGGATGCAACTCAGCATTCTTTGTCCTCCAAACACGACGTGTTGAGTTTTTACCAAAAAGTTCTATTTTGGTTTCATCTGACCATATGACATTCTCCCAATCCTCTTCTGGATCATCCAAATGCACTCTAGCAAACTTCAGACGGGCCTGAAAATGTACTGGCTTAAGCAGGGGGACACGTCTCGCACTGCAGGATTTGAGTCCCTGGCGGCGTAGTGTGTTACTGATGGTAGGCTTTGTTACTTTGGTCCCAGCTCTCTGCAGGTCATTCACTAGGTCCCCCTGTGTGGTTCTGGGATTTTTGCTCACCGTTCTTGTGATCATTTTGACCCCACGGGGTGAGATCTTGCGTGGAGCCCCAGATCGAGGGAGATTATCAGTGGTCTTGTATGTCTTCCATTTCCTAATAATTGCTCCCACAGTTGATTTCTTCAAACCAAGCTGCTTACCTATTGCAGATTCAGTCTTCCCAGCCTGGTGCAGGTCTACATTTTGTTTCTGGTGTCCTTTGACAGCTCTTTGGTCTTGGCCATATTGGAGTTTGGAGTGTGACTGTTTGAGGTTGTGGACAGGTGTCTTTTATACTGATAACAAGTTCAAACAGGTGCCATTAATACAGGTAACGAGTGGAGGACAGAGGAGCCTCTTAAAGAAGAAGTTACAGGTCTGTGAGAGCCAGAAATCTTGCTTGTTTGTAGGTGACCAAATACTTATTTTCCACCATAATTTGCAAATGAATTCATAAAAAATCCTACAATGTGATTTTCTGGATTTTTTTATCTCAATTTGTCTGTCATAGTTGACGTGTACCTGTGATGAAAATTACAGGCCTCTCTCATCTTTTTAAGTGGGAGAACTTGCACAATTGGTGGCTGACTAAATACTTTTTTGCCCCACTGTACACCCACACATACACACATATACACACCACAGGAGGTTGGTGGCACCTTATTTGGGGAGGACGGGCTCGTGGTAATGGCTGGAGGGGAATAGTGGGAATGGTAGCAAATACATCAAACACATGGTTTCCATGGTTTCCATGTGTTTGATGCCATTTCATTCGCTCCATTCCATCCATTATTATGAGCCGTCCTCCCCTCAGCAGCATCCCCTGATACACACACAAACACACTTTCTGTCTATAACACACATGTGCACGTCAGACAGATGTCAACACTTGTCACACAAATACACACACATAGCCATACGTGTGGACGATCTCACACAAGTCCAATTACACTGTCAGCCAAGGTGGGTCACTCACTGCCTTGCTAGCTACACTTTTATTCACAGTGAAAAGGTGACATCACAGTTTGAGTTAGACACTGAATAAGAGGGGAGCCCCCAGCCCAGCCCCAGCCCAGCCCCAGCCCCAGCCCCAGCCCCAGCCCCAGCCCTAACCCAGGCAGTGGCATTACTATGCCAACGGCTGCAGTGAAAAAAGCTCCAGTGAGTGATTCTGGAGGTGGGCCTCAACATTCCCTTTCCCTCCACAAAGTCAAACACACCAGATGGGACAGAGAGGCTGGAGCATGGGCTCTACTGCCTATGGAGAACAGAGTTAGCTAAGCTACCCTGACCCGGCTCTATGCTTTAAGTAGGTCATACTGGTCTTAATATAGACACAGTACTATCCATAGTGGTGTTCTATTGTCGATTTATGCAGCTTTAAAAATGTCACGTTTCTGTAGACATACTGTAGGCTACTGTCACTGCTGTCTGCAAAGGCTAAGGGAGGTTATCCAAATTGCAACTTCGTATCCCAGCAACTGAAAAAACAACAACTAATGATTTGTCTTATTATTATCACATTATCTATAACAGGGTCTATTTTTATTGCATATCTATTTCCTTTACAAGACATCTTCTCTCATACCACTCACAAATACACATCCTTTAAATAGCCCAGGCAAGCCCCCCCTCAAGGTGCACCTATTCTCACACCCCTGCCAACCTTGTTGAGCTGGCCTGGGTCTGCCAGCTTCTGTTCAGCTTGGCCTCGACCTGGTCTGGTCCGGGTTGGGGGAAGGAAGTCAATATTTGTGTTCTTTCTTACGGTCAGTTGCTACTTGCCATGGCTATATTGAAGAGTCATGTTTTACGTGGGCATACCCTGGCCTGGGGCCTCAAGTCAACCAAACACACGTACACGTCTTCCCTCTTTCTTTCTCTTTATTTTCCTTCCTTCCCTCTCTCTTTCTTAATTGTGGAATCAGTAATTACATATCGCTAGACAACATGTTGCTGTGTTTCTGTTGACAATGACAGCATGCATTCATTACGCTTTATGAACCCTGCTGTTTAATTAAAAGTTGGATTAAGAGTGCCTCACACGCACGCACACACACGTGTACGCACACGCACATGCACACACGCACAGGCTGTCCCATCCATCCATTGTGTTGAGGCCCTGGGGGGTCTGATAGTGATTGTGCCAGTGACAGAACAGGCTGGCTGGAAGGCAACTGTGTCATTATGTCTAGTGGTGAGAAGCTGCCATTCAAAACAGAGCATAGTTTCCTCGAATTACAACATAACACTGGCCATGCTGGCCTGGTTCCTCCAAGACGCCTTCCACTTCTTGTGAGGAAAGGCCTTATTTGTTGCAGAGTAAACTGAAAAGATTTAAAAAACCCACACAATGGGCTGACTACTGTATGTAGTATAGAAGAGCAGGCGTCAGCAGTATGGCATGGACATGGTTGACTGTGTTGGCTGTTCCATACAGTCAGCGGGCTAAAGGACATTGTACAGATTGAAAACAGTACCAGAAGACATGCAACATCAAAATGGCTTCACTGGGCACTCGCCTGGCCCTGCAGCGAATGGGAACACACACACACACAGTAACAGACATTAGACCTGTCTCCTCTGAGCTCGCCGCTCTGACGACACGTCACAGCCTGGCGAGCGCACTCAGTGCCCATGATCCTTTGGTTACAATGTTGGGCTGTGCCCTTAACGCTAACGAGGGCTCTCTCTTCCTCTCTCTGCATCCCTCTCTCCTCTCTCTCTCTCTCTCCGAGGAGCATTCTGCTGAATGCCACTCACTTTTTCCATCAGGGGAAATCCCCCGTCAAGCACCACCAAGGGTGAAGAAACTGCCTGCTGAGAGCGAGCGCGGGGGAGAAGAAAAAAGGAGCCTGGAAAAATAGCATTCCAAACTCTTAATTCACAAACGTATTTTGCTATTAAAGCTGTTCAGTAAAACTGTGGTGGCTTTGTGTGGCGGGCCGGGCCCCCTCTGAACACACAGAGGCCTGTAGCAGGAGACAAAGAGCTGATTGAGCCGTGTGCCCAGCCTGGCCTTTAAAGCCCAACTGCTTTCAGCCCGACCTTCAACCCCACTTCTCTCCTCCCTCCCCACCAGCACCAGCACCTACGGCAGGGGAGAGGGGGAGAGAGAGAAAGAGGCGCAGAGAAAAAGAGAGAGAAAGGGAGAGAGGGGAAGAGAGAGGGGGAGGGAGGGAGAGAGAGAAAGAGAGAAAGCGAGAAAGACCACAAACCCACAAGAACAAGGCCCAAGTCGTATTACACATCCCACCAGGGACCAGCCAATATGACACCCTCCCTTTCTCTTCTCTCTCTCTCTCTCTCTCTCTCTCTCTCTCTCTCTCTCTCTCTCTCTCTCTCTCTCTCTCTCTCTCTCTCTTAGGGGGCTGGGAAGGCCAATGTGGGGTGGTATGGGGCTGTTTGGGAAAGAGAGACACTTTCTCAGCTTTGGCTTTTAGAGAGGGACCTCTGCTACTTATTCCCTACTGCTGGTGGTCAGCCAAACAGCCATGTTCTACAGAATAGACTGCTTCAGACTCAGGAGCTCATGGGAATGACTTGAATGACTTCTGGGCCCAATATTACTGGAGCCTCTTTTGTGCTCTCTCCACAAGCACACAATTTGAATGACA